CACGCTCTGGCGCCGACGCGGGTTACGGTATGCAAACGCCGAGAGAAAACATTATAATCTTGTTTCGAAAGATGCATCAGATTAAAGGACGAATTTACGCTGGAAAGGCATCCCATTTTAAACTAACTTAGCGATGGTGAGTAGTACACTAAAGAAGGAAAAACCATGAGAAACGGCTCTGAACCCGAGAAATGGTGGTACCCTTCCTTGTCCGTTGATTTCACCATTGATGGGGCTATCATCGCTGTGCCCTCTTCAACACTACGCTCTCTCACTTATCTATTCACTCGCCACGTATATACCTGCGGCGAGTGATCAGATGATCGGTGGGCACTGACCAACCGCGTCAAGATTGAGCGTTAATAGGTCACCGAGGTCAACCCTTCGGTGCTAATTGTTCAGTCCGCACCCTTAGGAGGTCCATGGGTCTCTCAACTAGGTGAATTACTTCTCCTTCAACCTTCATTCTAATCCTGAATTCGTCCTTTAAGTTGAAATGTGTCCAGTTTTGTTGCTAAGTGTCGGAATGTGTGTATGTGTGTGTGCGTATATTTGTACCACCGAAATCGTTAGTGGCTTTGCTGCAGCCATAGAGTGCTGTATTTTTGGCTTATACCTTCATACATACCGCATTGTCCGCCTCAAACCGCCGGACCTAGTCCTTTCCTAACGTAGGCTTCATGATCCTCCGCTTGTGGTCAAATCTATAAGACCTTCAGCAATGCATAATCCTATAATGCGTACTCAAAGACCTGATTACGTCACGAGGCCGGAACAAGCCGGTTTTTTCGAAGCGGTTACTCCGCACCGCACTCGATATGTGTAAGCAGTAACAGAGCCCCCGTATGCCTGGCATTTGTAGATACAAAAAAAAGCTTTTGATTCGGTTGTAAAATAACGGTGTCTGTCGCGATCATTCGAATGCTATGAGCAGAATGTGATAGTTCCGTCCATATGTCGACTCTTGGAAGGAGCTGAACACGGTTTCGTTTACAGAAATAGGAATGCGTCCTCAACCGATTCATGGCCAGAAATTAAGAAGCTGCAAGGGAGGTTTCAGGGCGACGGCCGCGGGCGCGCGCCGGATACCGGGTGGTGGGCACACACCATCTGGCCAACGGACCTTCCCTGTATTTAGACCATATCAAGGCTCCCGCGACCAACGCGCGCCAAAACCCTCCGCCACCAGCGGGCCCCAACCAGCCCATTCTCTGGTGTTATTTTTTCACAAAATTTTATTGTAAGTAATTCACGACCCCCTACCGCCCCTTCCGCGCACATCTGAAACATCGCCAGCACATCCATTCCTCCGCGTCCGCCACCTGACTGCCGCCGCCCACCGCGCCAACTCGCCCAATTTCTCTTATTCTATCATGGAATTTTCATACTACGACACTATTACTTTTTGTATACCTTGTATCCCAAACACATACATACATACATACATAACATACAACGATACCTACATACATACATACATACCTACATACTGCTACATAATATCTGATACATACATACATACATCATCTCATACAATACATTAATACAATACATACATACATACTACATACATACATACATCCATATAAAAAGACACGTTAAGTTAGCGGTTTATATAATGATAAAGATAAATACCAGAAAACTTTGGTTGTGTGTGTGTGCTGTGTGGCGCGGTGTGTGTGCTGTGTGCGTGTGCCGTGTGTGTGCGTGTGTGCGCTGTGTGCAGTGTGTGCGTGTGTGCTCTGTGCGTGCGTGTGTGTGTTTGGTGTGTGGTGTTGTGTGTAGTGTGACGAAGGGGATAGGAGAAAGGGAGGGAGAACATGGCGCTGTCCTGCGCCGGAGAGGAAGGTATAGGGGGAGTAAGGGGGAGGTGGGGGAGGAGAGACTGGGAAAGAACGACCGTTCTTTAAGAGTAAGGTCTATATTCATGTTGTCGAATTATTTAACCTGATGTGGTGATTGTGATAACACCCATAATGGCTACAAAAACACCGAAGAATCACTCCCAGCCTCATTCTACATGGTGCTGCCGGGGCAGCCGGAGCCAGCGGACGGTAGAGGGAAGGGGAAAGCAGAAGGAGAGCGGGAGAGGGAGGGAAGTGGGGGGAGAAGAGGAAGCAAGGGAGAATGTGGTGCTGCCATGCGCCGGAAAGAAGAGGTATAAGGTATAACACATTCAGTAGTGAGGTGGTTGATGGAGTATGTCATGCTGCTATTTCGTGGTTCCTCCCCCTGCGATGCGCGCGATAGCGGGAGGAGCAAGCCTGGTGATGTAGATATTGAGACAAGAACATATTCAGTGGTAAACCGAAAATGATAACAGCCGATAATGGCCGATAAGAGTCGATGAAACTCAAACTTCACGAAAATCATAGTGTGCGTCCCAGCGGGAGTAAGGCGTCGGCTCCAACGTATTTGATGGTGTTCCGAAAAAGGTGACAGCTAAGCCCTGCTAATAAGGATGTTCGTGCGTAAGGTTAACGCTTCAAACTAAATACAAGAAAAAAAACCACGACTCATTTCTTTCTATTTCATTTGCGTTCCATCGTCGGCACCATACTCCATTTGACCGCTACGTTACCCAAATTTCCTGCGGATGTGTGAAAAGGAAGTTTGAAGAAGTACGATAATTATCACTGGGCATTTCTGTTTCATCTTAGCATCAAATATTATTCGATCGCTAAATCATAATGGTATTGAGCGCATGGTGATTGCCTGCATACACCACTTTGGCTCTGCACTCTATCGCGCTTATCAAGCGGTGACCTTCAGCGGAAATGAGCTGGCTATGGAAAGGTCAGATAGGCATTACACGATGCATTTCAGCGCTGAATTCTTCAGCGGTGAAAGCTGCAGTTCCGCAGACTGTCCAGCCACGGAAACCTACCACTGCATGTGCATGGCAGCGTGCAGAGCTAAAGCGGTGCTTACATGAGACTTTAGCGTTGACATTGAGCTTGGATTGCTCAGTGGTTCATAAATTTTTCATCATTAGTATCGGTGTAGCGAAATAGTGCCAATTAATTAGCATCTAACCTAGCTCTGATGGAAATTCGCAATCGGTTTGAAGGTAAAGTTTGGGCTCAGACCCACTTATTCAGCCCCTACCGTGGCTAGAAGAGCCAGGTATATGAGTGCAGCGGTCACACCCACCTTCATACATCGGAACGCGTCACTGAGACGCTAGACGCCAAGGACTTCTAAGAGACTCTGATCTGACGGCTATTACTACTACTAGCCTGATCGGCTACTCTCTCTCTTCTTGAACTTCACCACCACTCTCCGCGCGCACATTATTTCCTGACCCCCTGCCTGCTGATTGAACTTCTTCGCAGCGTAGAGCAAGAAGGCTCGTATTTTGGTTGATTTACATTTTCACCAGCTATCCCTACTTTCTATTTAAGTGGGATTACCACATCAATTTGATCCTGACTCTTGCCTTTGAGTTCAAGAAGTAAAGCGGCTAAACTTCCGTTGCCTCTTTTGGTGAAAGTTAGGAATGGAACTTATACACGTGCTAAGGAGCTAGTTGAGTTCACCAGAGTGCACACTCAATTGTTACTACTTTATCAGTGCACTTACCGTATCGTGTCACTTACCAACACCTCGTCATTTTACTCGTTTGCCAGTGATGATTGCAGTTAGAGGCATATGCATTCACACGCCCATTATCTTTATCACTTTTTTTAATCATTCCTTGTTATCGGTTATCAGTTCATATCTCTCATCATCGGTGTCCCCGTCCGACCCCCTCCCCCTCATGTAACGTTCAAAAGTTAGGGTTTTACTTTCACTACGGAGCCTACAACAAAATTAGTGGTACTAAAATTCTAAACTCCCTTATTACCCATTATCGATCAAACCACTTTTGCAGCATACTTTCCGTGTTCCCGTTTCCCTCTAGCACATGTGAGAGCCAAGGTTTAATACCGCGAATGTTCTACGAAATCGGGCTCCACACTTTGATGCCCATTATTTCTTATCGGCTGCTACCAATTTCTTTCACACGTCTTTCTGGTCCCTGGTCATTTTTGCGCTCGTGTATGTATACACACACATACAAATACACAAACCGACACACAAAGTTAGCGCTTTATCCAAATAGACATGCGATATATTTATATAATAATGTAGTGTGTGTCCCGTGTCCGCAAAAGAAGTGAGTGAGAAAGGAAGCTCATGAATAACAAACCGCTAACTAAATCGGTAACCTTACAGGACTTTGAGATATCATTGTGTTGTAGCGCAGGATATGTTGTGATAACACCTCAGGGCTATATAAACACCTGCTGTAGGCAACATTCGCGTCATTTCACATGTGCCTCCGCAGTGGCACTGATGGGCAAGTGGACGAGAGGAAGGAGGATGAGGAAGGAAGCGAAAAGATCTAACCTCATATCCTGATTCGTGTCCCTTCTACTGTTTGAAACACCATTGTGTTGTATACGTGTCACTTCCACGAGGTGTTGGTGTCACAGGAGGAAGGGACGATAGCGGAGGATAGAAAGCTTGCGCAGGAAAGGAAGGTCCCGGCGGTTGACGGGGGACTAATCTGGTATATATATGTAATACAAAACATACGCGAGCACAAAAATGTTACTGTTGACACAAACGGCTTAACGATATTGGTAACATCGAAATCCCGACCTTTGCAAACAGCTCCTATCAGTGGTTACCACATCCCGCCTCCAAGCATGTGTTCATGTGAAGCCTCCTATACACTCTAAAAGTTTAGGCGCTTTGAAGCAAATGGAGTGGAGCTGTGAAATTTCGGTCAGACAGACAGACCGAAATACCCACGACCGCTGAGCGAAGTATAAGGACTGTTGTATCGTCGGGCAACGCCGGGCTCTACCCTATTTTGTGAGTCGAAAAGCTTAGCTCACGCCTGACACTCCCTGCACACGTTGTATAGTGCCCGCTAACTCATATTACTCCACCCACTTCAACTTCCTACTCTTTACAGTGCACTGTAAAGAGTAGGAAGTTGAAGTGGGCGAAAAATTTTGGAACGCTTCACGAATTTGCGTGTCATCTTTACGCAAAGGCCATGCTAATCTATTCTGTATTGATCCAATTTTGCTATATGTTCAGGAATGAAAAATAAAGAAAGGAGATGTTCATACCAAATTGATAAGGAATTCCGTGAACGTTTTCTGCAGCTTTTGGGATTGTGAGAAAGGCATTTTCAGGAAGGAGAACAGAGATTTTGATGGATAAAACTGCAAAGATACGTATTACGAAAGGCTTATATTCACAGGTTTACTGCGTCCCTGATTTTGCTAAACTTCTGAAGTTCTTTTTCCGAACACTACATAAATCTTTTCCATTTTCTTATGTGTTTCCCTAAGATTATTCAGAGAGCTATTTGCCGTCTTTGCTCACGCGAAATATTTCAACAGGTTTGAGGAGTATGTGTAACTGTAGGTCGATTCACTATCCGTATACATGGCTTTGTGGGAATGCCACGAGGATCAATGCCGTCGTTTTTTTTTCAACGGCACAATAAGTTCAAGTAGACCAATCCTGTTGGTTGGTAGGGCAAGCTGGTCACAAAAATGTGCTGTTTTCGCGGCTTTAGAGTGCGCAACAGGAGACCACAGCCTACTATGACGGCTTTGAGAGCACAGTATGGAAGTCATAAACTTTACAAGGTGACAACGAGACCTCATAATGAACAGCGAAAGACATGAAGTGAGCGCAGAGGAAGAAGAAAATCAAAATAGAGCTCACTTCTCGCTGACTTTGCCGCTTATCACTTTTATTTTCGACAACTGACCGACTTGTGCTCTCGGGGACTCAAGAGGTAAGGCCCCTAGTCAGAGAGAGTGATGTCTCCAGGGTCCTTCTGTCAAAGACGGTGGCAAGTAAAGAACTCGAACACTTGTCGTAGATCAGCAAGTATGGCGCAATCACCTTGACGAGCGGAAAACAAGGTATTCGTAGTAGGGTGGTCGCTTCCTGTTTCGATTTCCCACGATAAGACCAAGGTCGAAGAACGGGAAACCTGTCTAGTGGAGAGACCAGACCCCTTAAGACCGACGCGCAACTCGCACCAAAGGATATACCTCGGCGATCTAGTATGGCCTTCCTCGCGACCCAGTTGGCGCGCTATTAGCCGGTACGCCCTCACCCTCATCTTCGTCTCGCGTCTTATTGTGAGTCACTAGCTTTTCAGCAGAGGGCATAGCGTCGAAGTGGACAGTACAGATGAGAGTCGCATAAATGCGCAAGTCAAAGGGCAAGGATGGGGTCCCATTAATGGGGTTCTCTGCCGTCTTTGTTCTTTCGTCCCTCACTGACTAAAATACTTTCCAATGTGCTGTCTTCTCATCGTGAAATCCGCCTTCAACCAATGCTCATGACATAGTTATCATCCCAATTATCACCTACTAGTTTAACTCTGCATGATATCATGTGCATCCCATGGCAGGCTTCGCTGAAGCTGGATAAGCTATGAGACATCAGACGAACATGACACCATGGAATTCTGGATACGTTAGCAGTCTGATGCTATCTTCAGCGGTTCTTCAAATTCACTGAAGCCCACCGTGCAATACGTGCAATGATAGTGCATGGTATTTAACTGATTTTTATCATAGCTCTGCAAACATAAGGCTTGTCTCAATTTCATACAGCTGCTTTCATAGCGAGCGTAGAATGTGTCACTTGGTGAGCTTCCAATTTTCACCTCTGATGGAATTTAACAATTATTAAGAAACCCAAATCTCATACCTGTTCGAAAATCATGCTACTCGTGATGTGGATTAGGAGTGAAACGTGCTTGTTTGTTGAGCAACTCCTCTGACCAATCTGGTTAGCTTACTGTAGTAGATCTAGTCATACTCAATTTAGTTTGACTTTCATAAATGCCCTTATCGCTCAATGCCACTTACTGTCAGCCATCATTAATACCCAAACATTTAGCAATGAGAGCGCTACATTATAATTGCGAGCAACGTAATGAATATGTAGGTATTTGAACTCATGCATTATTCTTTAATAGTCGCTTGATAACGTCCACTACCTTTGCTTTAGTCCGAATCCTACACAACGTGTGAAACATATTCATACAGGGCGTATCATAAGTATACATAGACGCACCCCCGAAATTACCATAGCCGGACTCCACAGAATTTCTCGACAAAAATGCTGATCACCATCTGAATCAGCATGTGCGAGAACCTAGATAGACGCAATGCCTTCACAGTGAGCCAAAATATTCACAAGGTGCTATGAATAGAGTTCTGGCTCAACAGACCTCACCAATCAGGAATATTTCTAGTGATTGGAGTATTCAATCAGTGCGGAGTACTGGAGTGCACAAACGCCCACAATAATGCATCATGACACTTCGTGGGATCACATAGTTAAAAGAATTGTCCACGGAAGAATAACGCTCAAATTCCACTCACGAGTCTCTGGTTTGAGATCTATCGTTCACGATAGAATAGTGAAAACAAAAAACATCGCGTTTTTCGGTAAACAATTGGAAAAAATAGAGGAACTGTTATGTGGTCAAATTCCCGCTGTAGATTTGCCACAGATGTTGGCAACTGGAACGACTCCACTTGATTACGGAGTGCTCTCACTAAAAACTCTTCTTGGAATCTTCCACCCTGCTGATTACACCTCTCTCACCTCATCATTTCTATCAATCGTTTTGTTTTTATTTTGCCACAGCCGGACAGAGTTAGAAACGAAGATGTTAGAGCGGTAATGCAGACTGCCCCTGCCCAGCTGAAGGTACGGGAACAGCGTCTGCGAGTATGGGCATGTGCAAAGGAGGCCACAGGATCACCCGATAAGAACAGCGATGGACTTCGAAGTGCAAGGCAAGCGACCGCGAGGAGCCGTGAAGAAGAGGTGACGAGATGTGATCAAGAAGGATCTAAGTGAAGTCATGGCCACAGCAGAGGACGCCCTGGACAGACTAAAGTGGCGACGACTGACAAAGACAGCGGACCCTGCGACTGCGCGGGACTAACGCTAGGGAGAAGAAGAAGAAGAGACTCTCTATAAATCAAATTATTCTCTTAGTGCTTTGACCATTGCCCTTGGGCATCAGGCATGTCAATCGAAGGATGACGTAACGAGCTCCGATAGGAACGGAATGTAAGGTCTTGTTCGATTCACTTGGCAAATATATCTGTGAGAACCGAGCTTCTGAAAGTGAACTCACCGAGATCACAGCTCTTTCTTTAACGAAATTGTGCACAATTCTTGGTGCAATTGCATGCATAACGGTTTTGTTTTGATTAAAATATGCAAGTAACCATGTAAAATCAAATTTTGCATTCAAGTCTTCCTCGTCGATTCCACCTTCGGTTAGCATTGGGAAGTCACCGAATTCCTGTAGTTATCAATCCGTACCACAAAAATATTTTCTAAATATGAAAACGTGACCGTTATCGAGAGCTTACTTATTTATTCATTTGGTTATTTATCTACTTCATTATTCATAGACGCAGAATGAAGCGTGGGAACCACAATCACAATAGATTACAATAGGAAATCAAACCGAGAGAGGGAAACATCAATCATAGGTAGAATGTTACAAAGAAATAGGATGGGTACCTTCCGGCGAAGCCACTGAGAAACATGCAGATCAGACCATTAATCATGCTTTTTTAGTACTACCCCTACCCCTAGTCCAACGCAATCTCAACCACCCGTTGCGCAAAGAACAACGATGGGTTCCGTTGGACAATGAAAAACGCGGAGGGGGTAATCGTCACCTCAACTAGCAACCACAAAATTTGAAGGTACCAAGGCATGAGAAAGTGGCAAAGGGGGCAGAGTTTCAACTACCATTGTTCTGTTCATCACAGACTACTGAATGAGAGTCTCAGAGTCGGCGGATTGACCGCTAGAGTCCTAATAGAAGCCTCTAGCAGGGAAAAGGTTTTCTTTTCATGAAAGTCGAGCATATAAAGTACGGTACTCGCCGTAAAAACGTAAAAAAACACGCGAAAAACGCGAATTCGCGTTTTTTTCCTTTTTTCGTTATAACTCGGTTCAAAATTGAGGTTTTCAAAATCTGAAGTTTCATTTCTGAAGTTCTCAAAGTTTCATTTCTCGTCGAAATTTTGCCTATTGGGGTAGTTCAATGACCTGATTACGAATATGGCATTCATTCTCGTAGTGTGGCCCCAAACATCACACCTCGCCCCATTTTTTACATGTTCCATGTTTAGAGCAGATGTTATGTAGAAATCTGTGAAGGCAGCGACGGACTTCTTTTACTGGCGTAGACTACGATACTTGTCTGTAGGAATTACATAGAAACCTTGGTGGCAGGTGAGTCTCCCTTCCGTAGTGTGACCCCAAACATCGCACCTCGTCATGCCCTTGCGATATGATCAGATCTTTTTGGTTCTCCAGATAAACATAGAAGACTGAGATGTGCACCATTCAATTCCCCATAAAAAATACTGTCGAACAGTATACAACTCACTTTCTGGAGAACATACCTGCCATTTTGTGACATTTCCCAATTTTCGAAGGGATGTTTTGAGGAAAGTCGAGAAGGGAGGGACGAACTCTCTTCCCTATCGTAGAGCGAGTTTACTTGTATGTTGGAAAAAATTGATGCGCTCGTGCTTGAGCGAGTGTTTCTTCCCTGGTGTGGCCTCAAACATCGCTCTCCGTCATGCCCTGAAATAAAAACGAGATTTTTTGGTCTTCCAGGTGGCTCCACGGAGCAGTGATGTACACCATTCTATTCTGCATGCAAAATGCTATCGAACGATATACATCTCAGTTCCCACTTGAAACTTTCATTTTTCACCGTTTTCGGCCTTTTCCTTATCGCCGATCGGCGCCTTCCTCAGCCCTGGCCACCCACGTGCAATTCACGTGCGCGGTACGTGATGACCTCACGTGACAGCCGATGGCCTTTCTCGGTAGCTGGCGGGCAGCCCGATCGATACACCGCTATGCGTGTCAAAAGTGCGTGGGAAAGTCATCACGCACCGCGCACGTGAATTGCACGTGGGTGGCCAGGGCTGAGGAAGGCGATCGGCGATAAGGAAAAGGCCGAAAACGGTGAAAAATGAAAGTTTCAAGTGGGAGCTGAGATGTATATCGTTCGATAGCATTT